ATCTCTTTCAGAGACTATTAAATTATTAAGATACTAAGTAATATAACTAAGCTCCAAACCGTTATTAAAATTAAGTACCTTCAACTGTGCATTTCGCACAGCTTAAGCGGAATAGATATTGAATATTTTTCAAGTGTTATATAATTTATTCCATCAGTTGCTTTAGATCAGTTTATTTACCATCTCTTACAAACTGGGGTAGTTCTTTAAAAGGTTCCATTAACCAAGATTTACTTGTAATGCGTTTATTTACCACTTGCACTACTCGCACCCACAAAGTGAAACGTTTTAAGCGTCGTTGAAATAGAGTTCATTCAGAATTCGTTAAAAGTACCATCCCTTGGTTGCGAGTGGAAAAGTAGGAGAAAATTATTTACTCAACTGCCTCGCAGCGTTTTCCGCGACACCCTTCATAATACCTACCACCACTTTTCGTGAAAGTAATTAAATTTAACAGGATTCAAAATCAACGTCTTTTGTGTTGAATTCTAATGTACCAACTATTGAGTTTCTATAATAGTGTAGGAATACATTTTCATTCTTTTTTATTTAATTTTCAAGGCTGCGTTAATCTTATTTTGTCATTAAGCAAATTAAATTAAATTAAATTAAATATGCCAATATTTTGAAAAAACTTTAGGATAATTCTGGTTAAGTTAATATTGTTTAATTTGATTGACACAGAAATGTGTGTATTAAATTCTTTTTCCTTTTTTTATTATAGTTTATTTGTAGATTTAAATATAATTATACCATTGTTTCACTAATGTACAGGGTGTAAAAAAATTAAATGTCACGACCTATATGGGGTGATTCTACACCTCTGGATCGGTGGAGATCTGTCAAAGAAAGCGACCGCAAAATTGACCTTGACCCCTAATTTCAAGGTTAAACTTTTTTATTGGCTTATCGTATAGTGCTCATCGAGGGGATAAAAAGTCTGAAAGGAACCATGTGCCGGAAATCAACCCTTCTCCTAGAAAAAAGCCGTCAAAGTTTCCATATACCATAATGCATTAAACGTTGAGTCGCCCGGTACCCCTCTGCAGTGATCTTGGCGCGGCAGTCTCGCGTATCGCTCGAGTTTCATGCTATAGGACAATTCTTAAATTTCAATCACAATGCCAGCATATAGGAAGGGTAAATTCTAAGAGAGCATATTTAAAAAGACAAAATAACGACTGCGTGTAAAAGAAAATAAGAATGAATTTAATTCACTGAAGTTTTGCACTTCGAATATAAACGCAAGATAAATGTTTAGTTTTATCATTTCACAGTTCGTTAACACATCGCAGTTATTTTCTTTTATTTTCTTTTATTTTCGAGGTAGGTGTAGAATCACCCTATATAGGTCGTGACATTTAATTTTTTTACACCCTGTACAAAGAAAAATTCAAAACTATAATAAAATTTTATGGCTTCTTAACGAAATATGGGATAATAAGAAGAGACTATTAAAATGATCGTATTAATTTTGTAACGTCCTGTTACAATGGCAAAGTTTTGTCAGGAACAAGAAAAGCACCATAACGAACCACGTGTAATTGAGCGATCTTACCGAATGATGATTCGAATACAATGAAATACTGCAGTAATTACTTGCTTGTGCCCTTCTGGCGATGGCTCGTCTCCTCGTTTCTAATTTGGAGTTCCTTTGCCCTTTGGGAAGACAAAAAGTAGTCTTTGTGTATGTGTATATGTTTGTACAAATGGGGTACCTTATTTGAATATAGGAAAATATCTCTTCTGCTACTCCTTAGATATTTAAACATCAAACTGCAAATTTAAATCTGACGTTAGAATAGAAATAAAAATAATTCTTTTCATTTTTAATTTAATAATTTTAATGCTACTCGAGTTTGAATATTTGGAATGAATATTTATTTCAATATAGCTAATTTATAAAATTTTATAGAATTTTATTTCTGCATAAATTTGTTTATAAACACTTTTTCTTAAAATTCAACATTTTTAAAAAAATTCCTTAAAAATTTATTTTATCGTTTACCCACAGAGATTGCAAAAAGCTTGCAATTTATTTAACCTAAAATGAATCTTAAAACATAAATTGTTGAAAACTAAATATAAAATATTTAAATTAAAACTAAACTGAATATAAATGATAAATTTGTGTATATTTGCTACTATATAAAAATTTTGTATATGAAATTCCAACACAAAAATATAAAAAATGAATAATACCTAGCTCATGTAAAGTTAATGAAATACGATATTGTTCGCCAAAATATTCAACGATGAATAAATGTAGCAACGTGATTGTGAATATATTTCAATTTTCAGCAACCTGTCTTACAGAGTTGCCGTGAATCACGAGTACTAAGGATTCTTAAAGCTTCTCACGTAATGAGAGTCTCCAGGATATAAGGAACGAAACGCTTCTAGCTTCGAAATTCATTAACGGAACCTACTCCTTGCTTTACAGTCTCTACCTTTTTCTCTCCTCCTCTCTCCTTCACCCTTCATCCCTTATCTCGTTAGCCACCCTCCCTGACGGTTGCTATGTGCGAACCATCGCACTTGCGGTACCGGGATAATAGTATTTTTATAGATTTACTTGTTTCCCACCCGTTAAGTGGACGCAGCGATCGAGAGCACGCTAATTACTTTCCCGAATAATCCGGGGAGAAGGAGGTTTCCTTTTTTGCTTTTATATCGGGGAAAATAATCCGAGCTTTCCTCGGTGTGTATCGATTAAACGTGAGCCATGGTTAGACTTTAATTCTATAATAATATCTCCTCGTTGTGTAAAAAATCAGGGAATTGCTACGTATTGAAGAGGCACGTACAATAACTACCTCTCGGAAGTTTTAAAAAAGAAATGTTAACCAGCTGTCCTCGTTTCCTATTTTAGTAGAACTTGGAAATAATGTAGCACTCGAGCAGATGTTTCGAGTTCGTATCTAAGGAAATAACCCTTGAGATTCTTAAAAAATTGTTTCATCTTCTTTTCAGTCTTATGTGAATAGCAGAACTTACTGTATGGTTTGTCATACATTGAAATTTAAAGATATCAAGTGATAAAAAAATATAAGAATTCCATCTACAATAAAATTAATGTTGATAATTTAAATTCAATATTAGGAGTGAACGGGTGGCTGAAAATTCGAGGACGCAAGCTTCGGGTCGAATCAAGAGATAACCGGGTCGGATCAGGTAATAATAATTGTGTCGAATCGAATAATGGCTGTGTCGGATCGGATAATGAGTGGGTCGGATCGGGTAATGATCGGGTCGGATTGGATAATGATCGGGTATGACTGAGTCGGATCGGGTAATGACTGGGTCGAATCGGGTAATGACCGGGTAATGACTGGATCGGATCAGGTAATGATCGTGTCGAGTCGGTTCTTCCAGCACATAAAATTCGGGTACCCGTTAGTTCCGAACTCAAACTCGCTCGATACTCGAAACTCAATTTGGGAACCGACATCGCATTCCGGATATGATTTCTTAAACTTACCTTAAATTTTTATGTTTGAATGCGTTTTTATATGTTATTGTATAGAATAGGATGTAATTGAGTTTCCGGTATCGAATCGAATCAAACCGGGTCTCGAGATAATATTCAGGTCCCGAAATTACGGGTACCCTAACAAATTCATGTGCTAATTAAACTTCCATGGTTCCGCCCTAATAAACCGAAATAAATGCGATCGCTCTATGTCATAACGCGCAACAGTGTACAATATATGACATCTAATAAAGAGACACACATATATAGAATTCCTCGCACAATATCCGGCAGCAAATTACAACCAGTTCAAACATTTCCACCCCATCAACGAGTAAATAAACCGTTACCATTATTTAAGGAGCAAATATGTTAGCAAAGGAACTGGTTACATCATAAAAGAAGAATCTTCTTCCCCTGTGAATCTCATTTATGTATCGAAAGCAATACGCAGAACATTTTCGCAGACTCCATTTATTTATTAACGAAGGCTCCTTTCTAAAGTGGAGCTATAATAAAAAGTTTCTTTGCCCTCTACTTTTCGAGCCAAGCCATCCTTTTCTCTAGCCGTTTGTCGTTTCCTCGGAGAGTCCTTGCGAGTGATCTTTCAACGCTGCATTTATCATTGGGCAAAGAAAAGAGGAAAGGAAATCCGGCCATTGCAAACAAACAAAGAACGATCGTAATTTAGTTGAAAGCTAGATTTTCTACTGAGAAATGCGATATGAATCTAATTGTTCCTTCATTGTTAAATGAAGGCTTAGTTGAGAATACTAAATATAATGAATACTTTAATGATTTTCTTTATTCTTTATTTTGATATTTTTTATTTTTGCAATTTTGATACGTGAAATGTTGTAGGGGTGACTAATAACCGGTACCATAAGTTAGATATACTCAAAGAATTGTAGCAGGGTCAATAGTGGCCCAAACCTATGAAATGTGTACAGTACCAAGCATGGTAAGCTTCCCTAGGGAAAATAACGATACCCTGAGCTCGCCCCCTCCCCTTGGCTTTTTCAAGGAAAATGACGATGCCCCGGGCTTCCCCGTTCCTAGGATTCCTCAAGACAAATGGCAATACCGTGCCCTTCACCTAGTTTGCCTAGGGAAAATGACGATGCCCCGGGTTTACCCCCTCCCTAGGCTTCTCAAAGGAAAATTATTATTCCCTGAGCTCTTCTCCTAGTCTAAACTTCCTCAGGGAAAGTGACGATGTCCTGGGCTCTCCCTTCCCTAAACTTTCTTAAGGAAAACTGAAAATGGCAATACCCTGGGCTCACACCCTCCACCCCAAAATTTCTCCAGGAAAAATAGCGATGTCTTGGGTTCCTTTTCCTTAAAAATGTCTTTAGAACAAATACGGATACCCGGGGCTCATTTTCTTCCCTAGGCTTCTCCAGGGAAAATGGCGTTGCCTCCCCCCCCCCCTCTCTCTCTCAGACTTCCCTAATTCTCAGCTTTCGAGCATTCCCGAATTTACGGTTCTCCCCGTAAGTTACCCAGGGTTTTCGGATTCTCGACTCACCCCATAGACTTCCATGGGTTTCCGGATTCTCGGCCTTCCTCATAGGTTTCTCCTTCTCCGCGCTCCTTTCCCTCCACACGTATCGCCCGGAAGAGAGTGACAAGTAACAGAAAATGCTCCTATGTATATTTATAGATCTCTGTCCTCCCGCCACTTGCCTATAACAAAATTTCAATTTAAATTTGTGTTATCAATCATATTTCTTAATTATACACTTAGTTTAGTAATTAAAAATTATATCATTTTGTTTATAAATCACTTTTATAATGTGACGGTTTACCGCCGGGGGTTTGCCGGCTCAGCCGGTAAGTCCTGGGTTCCGGCGAACGAATGAATAAGTCGGTTGGATATGGGTGAGAATAATAGATTTATTTAACTATTACAATTAGCTTAACCTACGGCCCTTGGTGTCCTATTAGTCTACAATGGTTCTTAAAACTAACGGTTCGCTCGCGGTGTCGAGCGGGCGCGGCACGGGTGATCGCGGCACGGCGTGGTCCGGTCGCGGTGTCGAACGGCCACGGTACGGTTCAATCACGGTGCGGAGCGGCGGAGGCGGGGGATTCCCGGGATCGAGTCCTAGATGCCTTCATGAGCGGATGGTCGTAAACACAACCCATCCTCACCCAGGCAGTAAGAAGACCGTGATACGGTGGACGTCCGTAGACACGTGTACGCCCGGTCCGGCGGTCGGGACGCCACCGAGAGATTTCTCGACAGTGGCCGAGGATACAGCGGACAGTATGGCCGGACGGCCGTAAACACAACCTTTCCTGACGAACGCTGCTGGAGTAAAAATCGTAGCTGATCGTGTTTCGTATCGCTCATCCGAGGATTCGCTTCCGAGTACTGATCTGGCTTCTACCGCCTCGCAGCCCGGTATATCATCGCTCGCGAGTTCGCGGTGCGCGCAGTCGCCCCCTGTCGGCGGCGCGGGTGGTAGCGCGCGCCAGCGGGGCCCGCGGTTTCGCGGCCTCGTACTCCTCACAATCATATTAATATCGTTGAAATTAAAATTTTGAGAATTCCTGTTTCCCCTCCAATATCATTTTTCTTGAAGAAACTTACTTTTCTCGATGGTGTACAATAGCATCTGATTAAGCATTTCCTCTTGTCAGATGTAAAATTGTACAAAAGTAAAAAAATGGTTTCAAGTAATTATACTTTTTAGCGAAAATAATAATATTGTAGTAATAGTAGTTTTTGAACTGCATAAGTAAACAGCTAAATGTAGTTCCATATTAATACATATTAATTTATTTTATAGAAGTTTGACATATCTAACGATAAGTATAATTAAAATTACTTCAGCCATGTCGGATTAATTAACTGTTATTAGCAAAAGCAAGTGACGATACATTAAACAATAACCTTCTATCGACAAGGATCACACCACGCATATGCAAATTATCGCAACATTCCGCTATTCTCTACTGTTTCAACTTCTCATATTCTCGGTATCCCGTGCTTTTTGATTAATCTTTCAGTAGCAATTATAAAATCATATTGGTCATCAAACAGAAAGTTAATATTTCCTAACGAAATGATTGCAATATTGATTTCTCCAGAATGTTAAATTCTGTCTATTTTAGTTATTAATTAAATTATTTCTGCAACAAAATATTATCATACTTTTTCTTTATAATATTGAATCGTAAGTTATAAAAATATATCTAAATCAAAATTATACTTATATTAGAGATGCAATAAAGAAACCTGAAATTTTCTAAATTAACGTGAATTTTCTTTTATTGAAAAACCTAATAGGAGACTTATAATTATAGTTTGATTTCCAAGTTAATGGTGCAATATGGAATTATATTCATTCCAAATCACATAAAATTTTAAACACTTATGTCCTGATAAAGTGGTCTCTCTTCAAAAAAATTAAAAAATCATAATGCACCATAAATATTCTTCTCTATCTTGAAGTCTTATTCGTTCTCAAAATTTATGTCCTCGCTTTTCCTTTTCCTTTCACTTAAAATAACATGAGATGCAGCTGCAGCAAGAACTTTATCTTCTTCAACTTCACGCTGTATATTTAAAACAACTAAACTGTTCCTGAAAATGCATGCTTTTGCCAGAGACAAATTGTTTCTGCTAATACTCATAAATTGCTTGTTTCCAGCAAGAATTGGCACCAGAATCTTCCTCGATGTTGCTTTGATATATACGTAGCTTTAGAGATTCTGCGGCGTTCCAGTGTTCCGTATGAAAAATGGTGGAGGACGATGACTGTATTACAGTTTAAAACGCAACACCCCACACAGGATTTAAAAGAACAGTGGGTCTGGTTTGCAGGACTCAGTTTTACTGCTGCCAGCACAGCAATTTACCGTGCACACTCGCATAAAATTTCAAAATTAACACGTTGACTACCGCGTTGCTGCCTTGGGATCCCTGCGAATTTTCGTTAAACCGCCGTACTGATCCCTCAGGAACGCCTAGATATATGTACGCAATTTCCAAGACGGTTATATTCGTCGCTTCCCCGCAATTCTACAGTAATAATGATAATGATAAATGATCTTTGTGATTTATGGAGTGTCGATCCCGTATTAACTTTTGAAAAGCGAGCCATGAAGAGAGCCCCAAGACTGTGGACCGTGGATAGAGCCACAATTTTAATGGAACTTTTTGTCTCATATTATTTCCATTGTCTAAATTTTACATTGTTCCTTTAAAAATTATTCTTCCAGTACAAGAAACCCTTTTTTTAAAAATTATACATTTCATTTTAAGTTAACATCCTTCAATATATCTTAAAATTTGGGTCACGATTGACTCAGGCTCTGCTGTTTAAGGTTTCAATAAATAAACAATTTCAAAATGTCAAATTTTTGATAAAATTAGATGACTTAACTTCAGGATTAAGGAAAAATTGATAATTATATTTATGATGATCAAATAAGAAGGTATAATGAAATTTCCAATTAAAATAAAAATGTACACCTCTTCCATTAGTACTTAATAAACAATAAAATACCTACTAAAAAAAGGTATCACAAAAAATAAATTGAATAATTATAATCTTCATACTTCAAATGAAATTCAATTGAAATTAAGTAGAAAAGATATTTATAAACAAGAATACAAATGTATTATGAAACACAATTTACATAGGCTAATTATAAAAATTAAAATTTTATCTTTTAGCAAATTAGTAATTCATTTAATCAGTAATTAAATTTGTCAGAAATTAAAATAGCCAATTACATTTTTCTGAATTACTTAAATTTTTCAAATCCAGTATTTTTTGCACCGTATATCAACAGATTCTTCCAATTCTTATTTCACAAAATTAATCAATTTTTGTAGTAAAATTTAATTACACGTTTCTGTCAATTGGATCTTTGCTTTTATAATGAATGAATAACTTCAAATACTTGAATAACTCGGTCAAAAAAAATCACACAAGGTGTTTGAAGAGAGGGAATTAAAGCTAAAGGAACAGACTTTCCTGTCTAATTGTTACAGCTAAGAAAAAAAATTTTGCTGAGCCGAAAGAGACAGAGAAATTCGATTAAAAATATTACAATTACTGTACAAATATTTCTTCGAAGTCAAACATTTTTCGAAAGAGGACCATTTGCTTTTTTACCTGCTATATTGCTCACTTCAATACAACTTTTCGGACCGAAATTACGTCCATTTGAAGTTCGCATAATTTCTACGTAAAAAGTGGGTGTTGTCCTAATTTTACGAGGGAGTGTACTTTATTTAAAGTAGGTAAATACCACTTTTAAACCGAATGGTGATACTTTAGTTAATTCAACTTTCCCTAGTTTCCAGTAAATCATGACATAACTATTCCAGTAATCGAATGAAGTACCAGCTCAAATCTCATAGCATTCATCTCGCCACTGACTCGTTTACGGAGATCGTTGCACTTCCAATCGGTTGTGAGGGTTCACGGTAGTAAATTCAGCGTTTAGCAAGTTCTCGGTTGATGAATATTGTATAATGAAATATACTTGGTATGTACATGCCTCATCCTCCCTTATTACAGCAGCCGTTTCTACCGTGGCTCTTGCTAAATCTCTCCTACTACCAACATCTGCTCCCTTACTATTCTATGTACAGAATGTATCATAATATGCCGACATAATTTCAGTGCATTCAACATACATAAATAATACAAAATGTTTGTATAAACTTTTGTCCTATTTAATTTTGTTTCATAGTTATATAGTGTGGATTCTGGTTATATTTGCCACTTGAACGTTTTGACTTTGTCACTTTCAGAATTGCTTTAAATCTGTATTTTTTTTTTGTATATCATAATATCATCACTCTGCAAGGATGTAATATGATCGCTGATAACTTACAGTAAGATTTGTAGGAGAGGGGAGAAAAGGCGTTTCGTCTCCGGATCGTTTGTCAGACTCGTCAGTGGGGCTGACAACAGACGATTCCTGCTCCAGACACCTATCGTACCGCAATTCGGAACTTCTATATATTCGAACCGCATGCCGGCCGACCGCTAGCGAGAACACACTGATCCCCGATCATCTCGCCGCCACCTAGCGGTCCCCGGCCCGGACTAAAGGCGTCCGGGAAGACGAAACCCTCTTGCCCCCTCCACTAACGCCTACAGATTCTTGTTATACTGCCACCTGAGCGACTTGACCTTCACACGAATTTCAGAACTGCTTTAAATCTTCATTCTTTCCATACCACACTGTCAGTCTACAAGGATGCAACGATGATGACTTACAGTAGATTCTCATTATTTTGCCTCGGGGGCGACCTGAGAAATTTTCAAGCATACTAGTACCGCTCTTCCACTATCATAACCTACCCCATAGAAAGTGGATTTCTATCATCCATCGCCATCTTCAAATGAAAACTTTGAAGCTTGAAAAGTTTTCCACTCCTATAACCTCGTCCGCGGCAATACAACGAGAGTCTGCTATACGTACTTATGTGGTTCCGTTTTCTATTTTATACTATTTTCATAATTAAAAATTTCTCATTTGTTATGTAACAACCCAATAGATTACCTTTACTTTTACAACCCTATTATTCCAATCAAATGATTTGGTTCAGTATACGAAGCCAGTGATTGAAATAACTAAAAAATACATTCATCCAGAAGTAATGGATACAAAGATCTCTCGTAACGAGCGATTCTTATTATTTACACAACGGAACCGCCTCGAAAACTGCAATTTCAATCTCAATTTTCGTTGCAGCGGGTATCCGACTGAGTTCACATTCGCAGCCCATAGGTCGTTCGGAAGAGCAGCGTACAACTCGGAAAACAACAAATTGCCTCGTCTAACATAACAAACAGGTTGCGGAGCCAACGTGTCGCCCTCGTAATGCTCCAGGGTGTTGCTCCGGTGGCAGCAGAAAAAATTATCACTTCAAGTGGCTACCTCTCGAACGTATCGTGCATCATACCGGCGGGCACCATACAAATATCTCTAACACGATATGAAACATGTAGCACGGGGGGGGGGGGGGGGGGGGGGGGGGGGTAGAATCGTGTACCTGGTCACCTCCTCTCTACGTCACCGACAGCCATTTATCGTTTGAGAGGACTTTGAACCAACGATTCGCTTAACACCGATTCAACAGCAGATAGAACCAGAATCGATCGTTTTGCAATGGTCGATCGGAATCCAATGCCCCGCATCCTTGCATTAACTTTTTCTTTCTAACGAACGATGACCGCCCATGCACTTTCAGAGGATCGTCGACATTCTCTTTTGGCTGTTTTTTCGACATCTGCAAGAACGTTATTGGGTTGAATGTGATTAAATTTTTTAGGAATGGACGAATAAAATCTGAAGCGTTCTGTCACTATCATTGATATCTTGACTTGGAAATTGTAATTACCTATTTAATAAAAATTTTACAAAATATAGACACTATTATGTCTTAAATCACCCGAAGAAATATTTGTATTCCAAGGTAGACTCGTGATCAAATCAAATTTCATTTCCCGCCCTTCCCCTTAGACCAGGAACGTTCAGCAAGTAGTAAATTGGACACGGGCGCCCCCGACGCCGATTAGGTTTTTAAATCATTTTTATTATAAATATCGTAAAAATTAAAATTTTGAGAATTCCTTCTTCTCCTCTGTTGCCATTGTCCCTAGCGCAGCGAGCATACACTAATTTGCTGTATTATGAAACATTTTGCCCTTTTTGAAAAAGTAATTATTATATCAGCACTTTATGGCATATTCTATGGAAAAAGTAAAAAAGAGTTATTCAAAAATTTCAATTTCTTAAAAAGACTCACCACCTAAAAATTTTCAATTAACACTTTGAAATTGATTTTGTTTTTTTTAAAGAAGAAATGTTACAAATTACCTATAATAGTTCTCTCTTTGACGAATTGAAATATAGTTTTTTTAATGCAACATTTTTATCGTTTAACTGGGATATTAAAAGAATTGAAGATAGAAAGAAAAAATATAGAAGTTAGTCAATCTTGCTAGCCTCGATAACCTCTCTCAACTCCAGTCAATTCCTATTCGTCAATAGCTAGATAAATTCTATCACACCATTTCGGATTGATACAAGTCGAGTTGCGCAGTAAATATTTGCCTGCTCTAACACAAGGTTCGCTTCTACGATCTGACCTTTCGAATGTAAAAATAGAGGGTAATGCAAAATATACATCTCGAATTCTGTTGATCTTTTAGCATTTAATTTAACGATTTAAGTGAAATAGATATCTATAAAAAACATGGACACTTAGAGGTACTCTAGATTTCTTTAAAAGCAAAAATTTCTTAATTATTTTACTGTAAAATTTAGAAAGGACTGAAAAAATTTGTTTTATTGTAAAAGAAAGTTAAAAATGTTGATATTTCATCATTTTTAGAGTGAATTTAAGTATCTATATTTTACATTTTGAATAAAAGATAAGAAACATTCAGTAGGTATAACAAAAGAAAATATGTATCAGACAGTGATTAAACGTATGCATAAAGCAAAATACCATCCAGTCCTGTTAATATTGAGGTCATTAATATTCAATTAAATATCATTTGTAGATTTAACATTCGCATCATTATAATATTGTATTTTAATAACTGGCCCATGCAATAATAAAATAATAAAAGATATGTTTTCAAACGATAACTTAAATGCTTATAAATCTATGAGTTGATATAATAAAATATAGAGACAATATAAGAGGACATTAATTTACAGTACTAAATTAATTAATGTAAATTTATTAAAATAGGATCATCAATCAGCTGCATTATAAACTGAATAAAATCCGAAAATTGAAAGAAATAAAATAAAGAATTAATATTTTATTAATTTTGTAAAATGGGAAATGCAAAATTTAAATCGAAAAATGAAACTATAAAATGGTAAATAATTATAATTATAGCGTGTCACACTACGTAACTAAAAGAAATTTTTAAAAATTATAATAACCTAACATTAACTTTTGAGCAGCGGAGTATGGGTCAATCGAGATCCAAACTTACAAAACATACAAGAATATTAATTTGAAATATTGGAATAATAATTTTTAAAAGAACAGTGTAAAATGAAAATTATATAAAATGTAAAACGAAATTAAAATTGTCCAAGGATTAATATTATATTAATTTTATAAAATAGGAAATGCAATGTTTAAATTGAAAACTAAAATGATAAAACTCTAAATAATTATAATTATGGAGTGTACCATTCGACTTGTTAATTAAATTTCTCAAAATTGAAAAAAAGAAAAAATATTACGAAAACTTAGTGTTATCTGTAAAACAAAGAAAATATTAAAGTTAGTTGGACAGTGTAATAATCACTATTATATCAATGACTTGTTCATTTCCTACGACTATAAACAAGCCAGTTTAATTTAAAAGGATTACCAAAGTGCTCTCGATTTGTAACTGGAATAAATCGCATCATCGACGAAAACGAACGACGATGGAACGGTTCCCCGTTCCTCTTCAGCATCGAGAAACGAGGGCGAAGAAACTAAGACCCTTCGGCAGAACTTATGAATAATGAGGTAGTCTCTCGTTTCAATAAACGCTTACTTAGTCGCCGTTAGTTTTTTTTTATTCTACTAAAAAGTCTGGATACTTTCTTCTGTAAACGTGATAAACCTTGGAAACCCTTCGTCAACTGTGTTCACCATCCACGACATTAAAAGAACATTACGCGCTTTTTCATTTCCAATTGTGTTTCACTCAGCACGTGACAGAAGTCCAATTCTGTTTCTCCCTCTATTACATCATGAATTTGATTTCGTATTTAGAATGCCAAGCATACTTTACTGTATATTTCCTTTTCTATTCGAAAATTACTATACAGAGTACTTCAAAAAGGATGGACATCATGTAAGTTCAACCCTTTTGTTATGGTCATCTTTGTTGGGTACTATTCTCTTAAGGTTTTAGGGTGGACCTGGCCCTCCTAAAAATTTGGGCTGACCTCATCCCAAAAATGTGGATTAATCTCAAATTTTAAGATTCCAAAATTTCCAAATGTCAATTTCCCAGCATTTCAGAATTTCTGTTAAACCAACAATACCCATTATGAAGGTGATTGTCGTAAACCCGAATTTGGATGAGTTATTCACGTTATTTTTGTTAGGTAGTAGAATAAAATATTCGACCAGAGGATTAGACCTTAATTCAAGTTTGCTTTCAAACAGTATACATTTTTTCAAGTCAATAGATCTTTACCTGTAGCAGCAATAAGACCCAAGGAATCGTTACATCCTATCTAGTAATTTGGTTTATTAGTCACATCTGGTTGCCAGAACCCTTAACCTTAGCAGTAGAGTCTTTGTTTGCAGTTTTCTATTCATGTCGAGGTATTGCTTAGTTTTATTGCTCGCTACGGTCACTGAGTACACGCGGACCTACCGCATACGTCACTAAGGCACCCCTGACAACGCATAAGGAACATTTTCCACCTCCACAAAAATCAGGCCAATAGGCATGGCTCATCCAAAAATTGTACTCCTTGCCCAGAATATAAAAACCTGAAGCAAGTTCCCTAATTAGACATTATAGTTCAGAACATTCTCGTGAAAACACTCTCGTGAAACAACTCACATCAAAAACAACATTTTCTGTCGAACGGATAAGCGCCGAAAACAAATTCCTTAACCGAATTGTTTAACCGAAGTATAACAACATTAAAAAATTATAATTACTTGCAAGTACAAATTGCAACGGGTCAATTTATTTGGATATCATTACCAATCCTCAAGTTGTCCCGACCTCTCGTTAAACCAAACGTGAGGAATAAACAATTTCCAAATTCTGAAATTGTAGAATTCTAAAATTTCCAAATTTCAAATTTCTTATACTTTAGAATCTCAGAATTTAAAAATTTTGAGATTTTAAGATTGCAAAGTTTGAAAATTTCAAATTTCTTACGTTTCAGAACTGAAAAATTTCCAAATTCCCAAATTCCCAAATTCAAAGATAATAACATTTCAGACTTTCTAAATTCCAAATTTCAAAAATTTTTAAATATTAAAATTTCTAAGACATCTGGCCCACTGCAGAGAAAGATCCAAGCTACACCAATATGTTTACTATTACAGTTACTACTTAAAATAAAAATAGTAGTATAAAGTCAAATAAACTAAAAAAGAAGAAACATGAAATAGCACACATATATGACACATTGTCCCACAGAGGGTCAGAAATATTCACAAGGACATATTTAAGTTCTACCTGAATCGAAAGGGTTAGAGAAACAACCGTCTACTCACTTGCAAAAGGTGTCTCCACTGTCAAACATTTGAAAAAATTCTATCGAAGTTAGAATGCGCTCTCGTTTCAAGATTCCAGCCCACCGGGCGATCACAGGGCATTCCACGGAAACGACACTCCCCTTTTTGTTTTATACACTCTGCGGATATGTAGGTACTTCCTGCGAGGCAGTTTCCTTTCAGTCAGATACCCGTATCGCGTTTACACAGCGAAAACTTCCGTACAGAAAGAGCTGTTTGAAATAACAGCCGACTACCGGAAGGACATTCGAAACAGTCTCGACTCCAATCACAAACGCGAACGAAAGTGGGAGAGACGGAAGGGAAAAAATGGGTGCACGAAGCAACCGTAACGGGATAAGTTTCGCGGTAGGCAAATCGTGGGGACGGGTATCAAATTCCCGAGAGAAGCGGCGTATCCTATTTTTTTTTTTTGTCGCGATGCAAGTAATATTTTAGCGTTCTTTACCGTGCATAGTCGCTGTAGCGAACTTTCTGTCATAGTTCAAAGACTTCAACGATGGGGGATGGTTGAGATTTTAGGGGATGCACTTTACTCTGTGAATCGAGCTAGATTCGGAAGCGAGTGAATGGAACAAAAATGTTAGCTCTCCCTGTGAATTTGTGCGTGTATCTCGCTTTGGAGATTAAATATTTATAAATGCTTCACATGAAAATTACCTATGAAGAACTTTTTAAAACTAAAATTGGGATTTCACCGTCGTGGGTTAGAAGTTAATAAAATGATAGTATTAAATTGTAGTAGAAATTCAATGCAGAGAAATTACCCCTTTGGCCTACAAATGGTAGTCTATGATAATCTATACCTATTAGTGTATTAGTGCATAGGGAGTACAGCTGGTCTTAGGAATGCAAAGGGTTAAGGGCTAATGAATCTTGGTTCAGAGAAGAATGATCAGTGTCACATTTTTGCAATAAAAAAATGATCTACATATCTATTTTAAACTTTCACTGCATTTTTAAAACACATTGGCAAATACAGATTTTACTGAATAGAATAACTATGATCGCAACGCTACGCTGCTGTTCATATGTTCCTGTCCTGATCGTGACCTGTGATCAATCAGTAACTATGTTTATCTTTTGTGTATAAAGGGCTGTGCCCGTATATATTGAAATAAATAAATAAATAAATAAATAAATTTTAATATTGTTCGATAATCAAGCATAGCAGGCCCTACCCGCTCGTCCCATATGCTGCTCCTTCCCCGGGCTCCAACCCTCCTCATAGGCGGTCCAAGGATGCTGATGATGTAGGGCAGGCCTGTCTAACCTGCGGCCCGCGGGCCACCTGTGGCTCCTTCCCCTACCACGCAGCTCACGTTCGGCTCCCCCCACTCTTCCAGTTGGTTTCCCGATTCTTCTAATACAGGTCTGTCCAAGTAGGGGAATTCACTCCTGGAACACATGTTTTGGGTCCCATTCCAACGCTGCTCCTTCAAGTAAGATGGGACGGTTCCGACTACAATCTCTCCGAGGAGACAGTACCGCCGCTAGGAAAGACAGAGACGGTAGTCGGAACCGTCCCATCTTACTTGAAGGAGCAGCGTTGGAAGGGGACCAAAAACATGTGTTCTAGGAGTGGATTCCCCTACTTGGACAGGCCTGTTCTAATATTTGATGCGTATTCGTAGTCTTAGCAGCTAGGACCTAGCTGCTAGAGACCGCCGCCCCACTACTGGCACTACTGGATGGTGGGGGAAGTCTGAAGCGGTAAGAGTGGGAGCAGTGGCTCTTTCGCTTCTACAGGGTGATCCTCTTGCTAGTGGACACAAAGGAACTGGCGACAATGAACCCCTTGACCGCACCATGAAGACACACAGAATCGTCTCGGCCCGGGGAGGTCCCCGCTGGCACGTGGCAATACGGACCTCTTTATGGTGCGGCCAAGGGGTCCATTGTCGCCAGTGCTCCTTTGTGTCCTCTAGCGAGAGGATCACCCTGTAGCAGTTAGACAGGCCTGATGTAGGAGAAGATGCCTCATATATATTTAGGTAATGGCCTCCCACCCCTGCGTATAAACAATACGCGGGGAAATTTGAATCGATGTTTATTATTCGTATTTTTTTATTATATACTAAATTTTATAATATTTAGTAATTAAAAATTATATTATTTTGCTTCTAAATCATTTTTAATATTGATATCGTCAAAATTCGAATTTCGATAATTCCTACTTCCCTATACCGTTATTTTTCTTAGGGAAAATGCTTACTCGATACTGTACATGTTGAATATATAATAGCAATATAATTGAGTGTAATCCCTCTTAGATTCTTATGTACAGGATATAGTTTCCTTAATGGTACTGGAATTCCTGAATTTTTGTTCCGGTGGTAAACGTTCATGAAAAGGTTGAAAATTGCTGTATAAATGCTATTTTTTGATATTTTACTATTCTCTAATGTTTAGAAATTCGCTGTCTTCTATAACCATGCCAGTAATAACAAATATAGTACAATGTGTACATAATTTATAATATATATATGTATAAATAACATAGAATTCAACAAAATAACATTTCATGTGCCCAATGTATGTAAATTAATTTTTTAAATTCTTTTTAACACATTCCTCTCATTTCTATATTATAAATATTATTAGATAATCTTTTACATTGAAGAGCTAAATAAAAAGGACGCCTAATAAAAGTTTAGCTGTGGGTCCAGTTTGACTCACGATCAGTATCAACCTACTGTGTCATTATTTTCTAATTGTACATGATTAATAAAATACTATAATATATTTTGAACTTATGATAAAAAACGATTTTCTTTCAACATTTTTATTGAAAGTTTGAAAATAAAATAAAATTCCAATAAGTAGGATCGTTGACACGCTGGTGGGTAACGCTATAAAAGACGGATCGACAAAAGGTGTAAACCTTTATGTTCAATTCGAATCGATCCAAAGCGAAACTTTTTAACCGAAATTGCAACATTCGGTTTCATGGAGAAGCAATCCGCACGAATTCGAATGGAACGGTATCGTCGAGGTTGGAATTTACATCGCTTATTCGCAAATTTCCTCTCTCGCAGGTTCCTAACAAATCGCCATGCCGATTCTACGTCTCGCTCTGGCTTCGTATACTTCGAAACTTTGCACGCGGTTAAATATTTCAACGAGCACGCCTGAAAAAAAAAGAAAAGGAGAACCGAAGCCGAGAAAGTTCAAGTAACGACGGCAGACGGTAGCAGGGCCGAAGAGGAAAACAAATGGAAAAAGTTTCACCCCCGGTCTGATTAACGAGAAATATGTCACGGTCGAAACTCGTCGCGTATCGAAGAAAATCGATCAATCGCCGTCGTTGACGTTTGTACACGGGTTTTTCTCATTTAAGAAGGTATTAGCTGTAAATTTAAATGTTATTGTTATCTTTTTATGATAGTTATGATTTCAGAGAAGGTCGTGTCAAAATTTTACGAGGGCCCTTACAAGGGAGGTAGGTTGATGACCTGCTTTGATTTTCTTGAAACTCTACAAGGGTGGAGCGTCCAAAAATATTACACACGAGTTTTTATTTTAATATGTGGAAATTCATTTTGGAGAGTGAAAATTGTACTCCCTAAAATAATCAGTGTATAAATAAGGGTTGTAAGTTGTAGCTTATAAAGTAATTTATTTATCAAGTAAAATATTTATTTTGAGTACTTCAAAGAGTACGATTTTCAACCCTTAGTGTATTAAGCAAAATACGCATTTTCACTGCTTTAGAACAGGGCTTCTCAAGCTTTCCCACTTGTGGACTCGTTTTAGCAGAGTAAATATTTCCGTGATCCTGGGTATAGAGGTATATAGAGTAGGAATATGAAGTAAAACATTTGATGATAATAAATAATAAAGAAAATTTATAGATGATAATTTTCGGTTGTTGCACGTCCAAGAATTTTTTAGTTTCGCTAACATTTCTGCAACCCCCTGTGGGGTCGCGATCCACACTTTAGAACCCCTGCCTTAGAGGGTGTAATTTTCAACCCTTAGTCAGTCCGTTAGGTTAAAATTCGCATCTTCACCATCTTAGAGGGTGCAATTTTCAACCCTTAATCAGTATTCTAGACAAAATAAGTATTCTCACTATGAATATTTGAGAGGATGAGATTTCCAACCCTTAGTCAGTGTATTCGGCAAAGTATGCATTTTCACTACCTTAGAGGGTGCAATTTTCAACCCTTATTGTTAGTAAGTGCTCTAGATAAAATAAGCATTCTAACTATAATGTTTTAAAGAGGGCGAATTTCAATCCTAAGACAATATATTGTCTCTTTAATTCTCTTAAAGAGAATACACATGCTTATAATAATGAAAAGAAATTCGTGCTTAATATTTCTCAATCCTGTAGCCATTAGAGGGTTGAAAGCTTCTTTATACTTATCATTTATATTTATAAATGTTTCACTTTTCTTATATTTTTTATACTTGCCTTTTATCCCTAAAGAGCAAATACAGGAATAGTTCCACGTGTAGAAGATGTTGGGTCTAATATGACCCAATGGTGAAATTTGTTTTGTATATATCTATAAATTAATTTCTATATTAAATTCTGGTCCTGCTGGATATACTGGCTTTTTAAATTACTCTTTTATGTAGCAATTAAAAGGAAAATGAAGGTATATTCATTATATAATTATTGCATTACTGTCATTCAAATGTCACAGTCTTAATTTGATGTTGGACAAATTTTAAGCTGGGCTTTGAATGATCCTACAGCTGCTATCCGAGAGTTGCATTAAACATTATTTAAAAGAGAACTTGATTTTGAACAGTAATCTCCAAAAGAACGTATTTCACCTAGTTTTTTGCAGTGCAGTTTACGAAAGGAGAAAATTGGCGTTAGCTCTGGGTAGGTAGTTATTAGTGCTCGCCTTAGTAAATCGCTTGCGAACACACTGTTTACGCCTGTTAGTTACTTGAGCTTAACTAAAGTGGACTTCTTGCAGAGTAATTATACTGCAGACTATATATGGGTATTGAGAACTGATTACTTCGACAAGTTAACCCACTATACGAATTAAGAGTGTTCACAAGAACGTGAACTAATATTTCCATTATTAATAGCATAAGTACCATGCATACAGTAAACTGTTTCATCGAAAAATTATTATTAATAACAAAAACATAACTTTGAATCATTGTACAACTATTTTAGCTTAAGAAATAATTAAGTAAT